GAAAATTTTGTAAACAAAAGCATGAGAATATTTAAAATCTGTTCAATATGAGGGCATTTTGATCACAACATGTAGATATCCTAATTAATATTTATATTTGTTGCGTCCTGAAATATTCGTGGCGGTAGAGAAATATATAGTTTAATGTCTTAGCATTGTACGAAGATCCAACACACAATCAGATAAATGAGAGGGTGTAGCATTCATAAGAGACACCAGAGTTTTTACGTGGAAAACCCCTAAAAAGGGGGAAAAACCACAGGGCCTACCCAGTTGAAAATGATTCCACTAGAATTTGAGTCGATTACAAAGGGCTGAATCGCCTCCAAAGACGATCAGATTACAACTAGTAACTGTTCGATAGGAGTCTGGTGTTAGACCCAGTGTCACCTGGAAGTTCGAGTGTTAGTTGGTAGTCTGATCTTGAACAGAACATCGGGCCTTGAGCAGAACGTTGGGCTTTCGGCAGAACGTCGGGCCAGAACGTCGGGCCTTGAGGAGAATGTCGAGCCTTGAGCAGAATGTCGGGCCTTGAGCAGAATGTCGGGCCTTCAACAGAATGTTGGGCCTTCAGCAGAATGTCGGGCCTTGAGCAGAGCGTCGGGCCTTCAGCAGAACGTCGGGCCTTGAGCAGAATGTCGGGCCTTGAGCAGAGTGTCGGGCCTTCAGCAGAACGTCGGGACTTGAGCTAAATGTCGGGCCTGAATGTCGGGCGTTGAGGTCGTGGTGCAACGAAGCTCCGGCGGTGGTCATGCAAGGCTTCTGCGGTGGTCTGGCGAGGTTCCTGTGGTGGTCCGGCGAGGTTCCTGCGGTGGTCCGGCGATGTTCCGGCGGTGGTCAAGGAGGAGCTTCTTCCTTCTCTTCTCTTCTTGCTTGAACCCCCCCTTTGTGAAGAATGAGGGCTCTATTTATAGATTTTTTGGAGTGACATAGCTCGTAAATAGGCGTGAGATCAGGGGCGAATATGGAGTGGTCGAATGGACGGTCGATATTGAATCCTACGATCATGCACCGTTCGTTGGACATTTGAGGGCCGTAGTGATGTAAGAATTTGGTGATCTTGGACTTGTTGGATTTGTATCGTCGAGACGTTCGATTTGAGTATAAGCTATTTAAAATCGGACACCATTTGGTAACTCAAACAGTGCTACGAAGCTTCCAACAGCGCTTCGGGTCCTTGATTTGGACTCATTTGGGCTCGGATTGAGTCAAATTTGGTGTTGTTGGATTCGTATTTCCGAGATGCTCAGTTCGACTATAAGTTTACAGAAATCGGAGTTTAGATGGTCTCCGAATTAATTTTTGAAGTTTCCAACTTGATTCTGCATTGAGATTTATGCCCGATCAAGATAATTTCTTGACGATGTATAAATATTATATTTATCTCAAATTATAATTAAAATATTTAAAATCTGTAATATGCTAATTTATTTATTTTCCACATAACCAAGTCATGTACGAGACTATTAAATTATATAATAAGTATATTTTAACAATATATATGTTGAGAGTTATTTTATTAACAAATAAAAAAAAATGTGCTAATGTACATGGTCGCATTATGTACTTCGTCATGATAATTCCAATAAATTAAAGTATTTACAGCTAATGTGCAAGTGCATCAAGCCTTCTTATTAATTTGATTAAAGTTTATAATTTCATATTATGTTCATTTCTTCAATTAAAATATTTTAATTAATAAATATATTAGTTTAATTACGTGCTAAAAAAATTGCATCCGTAAAATTGATATTTAATATCTTAATTTTTTATAAAAATTCAGTATGTACAAAAAAATTGTAGAAAATTAAAATTTTTATGTTGAAAATTCAAGGAGGAGAAAAATCACAGGATTCGACACAGTTGCAATAATCCAATATTAAGTAGAAGATACAATAATTCTCAATTATATTCCTCATAGTCGAATAAGATGACAAGTAGTTGCAATTAATTTTTTTTTTTTTTTTATTGTAGGTATTGTATAAATCTGGCATTCACATGCAGATAATTAAAACCTAATAACCTGATCAAATGTTGACAGAAGTCTAACGATGATGGTGACGATTATCAATGGTGGTTGTCGGTAGTTATAGTCGAAAAATACAATAGAACTCTTTAGTTCTCCTAGCTCTTAAACTAGTCTATCTTGATGTAGGGAATAATGCTCTATTTATAAATTTTTTTTTTATAATTTTGGATAGAATATAAAACACTATTGTTTTGTCCATATTGATCACTTTAATCGTAGGTTGTTTATTTAATATTTGAATGACTTAAGGATGTTAGAATCAAGTGATATCGAGCTTTTAGATTTATCTCATTAAGCCGCTCGATTTTTCCTACAAGCATGCTTTCATTGGAAGTCACTTGATTTATCGGTTTATGTTCATAAGTTTCTGTGGAAACCTGATTCTTGAGGTTTCAGAGAGCTTCTTGACGGAAAGGGAAAGAACGCAGAGAGAGACGGAAGAATGGAAATGTATTTTCTATTGTGTGTTTAATGAGTACAGTATCAGACCTATATATAGAGCTGAATAGGCTGTCCGCCTATAAGCAAATTACAATCCAGCCATTATGAAAAGAATACAATATTATTTGTATATATATCCCTAACAGTTTCCAAACATAATTCAAATGCTTGATTTGAATTCGTTTGAGTCAGATCAAATCATTTGTAGCGTTAATAAGTTTGTATGGTTAAGACATCTAGTTCCATTGTAAGTTTGTTGAAATTGAAATTCAGATAATTCTAAATTTATTTTTTAAAATTTATAATTCATATATTTATTGATATTCGTGCCAATCATATGAGCTTTATAGAGTGGTATCCAGTTTTATCAATTTTAATCCGTACGAATTTAATTTTGAGTATAACAGCATAAAAATGGCTATTTTTATATTTTTTGGATATCGTATTATTAACTTCTTATGATTTTTAATATCAATATATTTAGTAACTAAAATTATTTTAAAGGTAAGTGCAAATAGATTTACGATTTTCCCCAAATTTGATTAAATAAGTTATTTATTTAGGAATTGAGAAAATAAATCAGCTCAATTAAGTCATTTTTTATTTATTGGCTATTGTTGTGTTCTGAAATATTCACGGAGGTAGAGAAGTATAAAATTTAACGTCTTATCGTTGTACGAAGATCCAACACACAAATAGATGAAAGAGAAAGGGTATAGCATTCATAAGAGACACCAAAATGTTTAAGTCGAAAACCTTAAAAGAAGAGGAAAAATCATAGGGTCTAGTCTAGTTTGAATGAATCCACTAATTTTGCAATTGATTACAAAAGAGGCCCTTCATGGGAGGGAAGACCTTGGCTTGATGTAACAAATATACATCATATAAAGTGTGTTATATGATGAAAATAGGAAGAATCACTATTAATGTGTTCGTTTGGTCGAAAGGACCATAGTCGGTGGCCGATGGAGGTTAGAAAGAACATTATATGGCGACAGAGGTCGGAAGGATTATAGCCGGCAGACGACGGAGGTTAGAAGGACCTTTGTCTGACGATGAAGAACAAAAGGATCATTGACGGGTAGAAGTTCGACGTTAGGTAGAAATCCGGCGACAAGCGTAAGTTCGACATCAGGTAGAAGTCCGACGAAAGTCCTACGACGGATAGAAGTCTGGTGACAGGTGAAAGTTTGGCATTGCGTAGAAGTCCGAAGAAAGTCCGGCGATTGGTAGAAGTCTGACGTATGGTAGGAATTCAGTGACAGGCGAAAGTACGGAGATGGACAAAAGTTCGACGTCGGACATAAGTCTACAAAAGTCCAGCAAAGGGTAGAAGTCTGACGACGAGCAGAAGTTCGGTGTCGGATAGAAATCTAACGAAAGTCCGGCGACGGGAATAAGTTTAACGACGGGTGAAAGTTCGGCGTCAGGTAGAAGTTTAATGAAAGTCTGGCGACAGGCAGAAGTTCGACGTCGGGTAGGAGTTCGGTGACAGGCGGAAGTTCGAAGATGGACAAAAGTTCGACAAAAGTCCAGCGACGGACATATGACGCACAAAAGTTTGACATTTGGTAGAGATCCGGCAAAGAGCGAAAGTCCAATGGCAAAAGAACTTTCTTCCTTCTCATCTCTTCTTTTCTTCCTTCATTCTATTCTTGCTTCCATCTGGAGTAAGTTGGTGGCTCGGTAGAAATTCAACATCATTCGGTGGCCGGGCTGAAGTCCAGCGACAGTCGCTGGCCGGGTTGAAGTCTAGTGATGGTCGAGGAGGAGTCTGGTGACAAGAGAACACAAGTCTCTCTTCTTCCTTCTATTTCTTCTATTCCTTGCTTGGCTCCTTTTTTTCAATGAATAATGAATGGTCTATTTATAGTTTTCTGAGAGTGGCATAACCAATAAATATGAGGAAAATCAATGGTAAATTGAGAGTGGTTTGAATGGACGGTCGATGTTGAATCCCTTGATCATAGATCGTTTACTAAGCATTTGAATGCCTTAATGATATCAGAATTCAATGATCTTGGGCTTGTTGGATTCATCTCGTCGAGCCGCTCAATTCGATTATAAACATGCCACGTTTGAAAGCTGCTTGTTAATCTAAAATTTGGATTGAATCTTCCAAATGTGATTTGGACTCATTTGGGCTTGGACTGAGTCGAATTTGGTGTCGTTGGGTTCGCATTTCCGAGATGTTCAGTTCGATTATAAGTTTGCAGAAATCAGAGTTCTAATGGTCTCTGATTTAATTTTTGAAGTTTTTAACTTGGTTTTGCTTCAAGCTTGGTGCCCAATTAAGATTATTTTTTGATTATATAGTAGGTATAATTTTTTGTTTTTTTTTGGGAAAATTAGAGACTGGTATGCCTGGTTTTAATTAAAGAACAATAAAAATTACAGATTCAAAGGCTAAAATTTTAAAATATATATTTTTAATTAGAAGAAGTAGGTGCTGCTGCTGCATAAAGCGTTCTTCTCGGAAGCTTTACTTCATTCCACTTGTCACCGGTTGTGCAGTTGTATGCTTCCCGTCTCATGTTGGAACCAGGTCCTGACGCGGTTAAGCTAAAAGTAGCCATCTGTGTAGCCGGCCATGTAGCCTTACGACTCCGAATGGAGTCAGTATACGGTGGCCACGGTGGGTTCTCTTCTACTGCCGGTCGTCTTGTTCTACCTCAGAACACACTTCTTCTCTGGTGAAAAATAACCCACCACCTCGTTAAGAGGCAAGTTCAGGAGGCCGGTGGAGCGAGTAGGGTTAGAGTTGACGTTTCTTCGTTTGTTTCATCGCATCTTTGGTCGAGCTTCATTAGCTTCCCGATTTAATCGTTTTCTTCCTGTTCCGTTTGAGCTTGCCGGCGACTGATAGAGGGGAAATGTCGCAGCCATGCTGTGGGCCGGTGTTCTGGTTATACGTAGCTGTCTGCGTGTGTCTGGTTATGTTTGCGGGGCTCATGTCAGGGCTAACTCTTGGACTCATGTCGCTTAGCCTGGTTGACCTTGAGGTTATCGCTAAGGCCGGGAAGCCTGAGGACAGGAAGAATGCCAGTCTGGTTCCTTCTCTCTTTCTAGCTTTATCTATTTTCTCATTTCATGCAATTTTTGAATTTTTGTTCGACTGCCAGTGAAGATTCTCCCTGTGGTGAAGAATCAACATCTGCTTCTGTGTACACTGCTCATCGGAAATTCCCTAGCTATGGAGGTATCTCTTTTATGCCTTTGTTGATTTATCATCCCTGGTCAGGATTGTAATCACGATTAATTTTCTGTTAATTTGTGATTTCAGGCGCTGCCCATATTTCTTAATTCCTTGGTTCCGGCTTGGGGCGCAATATTGTTATCAGTCACTCTCATCCTCGCGTTCGGAGAGGTATGTTTTATTGGCTTCTGGTTTGCTCTGCAAAACATTTATGGGGAGTAGTCGGAAGTGCCAAAGGAAGCGAGATTTGATGTGATTTCTTGTTATTATCATTTTTTTTTGGTGTCCTAGATTATTCCCCAATCCGTCTGTTCCCGCTATGGGCTGAGCGTGGGAGCCAGGACGGCTTGGATTGTGCGGGTGCTTCTGCTCGTTTTCTTTCCAATAACGTATCCCATCAGCAAGGTGAGTCCTACTTGTGATTTGATTAAGCACAACTTCATGCATGTGGGAACACATAATTGGAGCCAGATTCTGATAGATTGATAATTTTTTTCTTTCTTGCATTCATCTTAGCACATTAGTAATTAGATTATACCACCATCATGATTGCTTGCTTGTAGCATTATGACAAGTGAAATTTAATGACAATTAAGTGCTCACTTGGAAAATTGAGTTAAAACAATGATGTTAGTTATATTATTTGGGAAGATATTTCATAGTTTCTATGGGTTTTGATGTATTTGAAGAATATGATCAGACTATTCTAGATAGTCCACATATTAAACTCTAAAGAAGGAGGATTGTATTAAGTATTAACATAGAGAAATTGATGTTAGAAATCATGAAAACTAAGTTGAGCACTTGAGCAAGGAGATTCATAGCAATAGAAAGAGAATTTAATGTCTTTGCATTGTACTAATATTTAACACACACAGATAGATGATGATCGCATGGGATACTAGAATTTTTGTGTGAAAAACAAGAAACAATTGGTATGGCCTATGTCATGAGAGATTATCTTCAAGAGATCGTTTGCTATTTGTTTGGTCATTTCCTTTGAGAAGGGGATTTCATAGATCAAGAAGTCCAACATAAAATTAGTTGATGATGTTGGGAATTAGAATTTGTTTCAACGACGCTCAATTTTAATGGATACAAATTGGGCAAAAGTGGTCCAACGGTGGTGCTCGGGTGAAGCGTCAGGGTTGTTCAAGCCCTAGGTCTCCTTATGTTGAGAGTGAAAGTTTATTTATAAATTTTGAAGTGTCGTGCCATATAAATATGACCAAAATTCGGAACAATCCATCTGATGACCCATATTAATTCTCTCAATCGTAGACCATTCCTTTAGTATTTAAGTGCCTTATTAAATTTATAATTAAATGACTTTATTCTTGTTGTATTCATCTTGTAAAGATGCTCGATTTGACTACAAGCATGTAGGATTTGGAGATTGTTTGGTGCTCCTTTTAGTCTGATGAATTTCCTATTTCATTTGAAGTGCTTGATCTGGGATCATTTGGACTTGGATTGAACCACTTATGTTATTGTTGGAAGTATAATTTTGCCGAAATTAGAGTCTAGATAGTTCTAAATTTAATTTTGAAAAATTTCAATTATAGTAAGTGTAGATATTTGTGCTAAATCAAATTAATTTTTGATGACGTGTCAAAAACCATGTGGACTTTCATCATTTATGAGCGATTTATCCATTGAAAAATGCATGGTCAGCTTGCTAAGAAGCACTTCGTTCATGCCCTTCTCATAGTGGGTTTGCTAAGAAGCTCATGTTTGATTCATTATTTAAATAAGCGATTTAATATTGAACAGTTGATTTGAGCTTTATTTTTTTTAATGAGCTGAATACATAGTCTTTTTTTATCGTGTTTTGCTCATTTATATATGAATGAGTCGAATATGATCATGTTGCATGCTCGCTCAATTTTGGCTCATTTACTCCCCATTATTGAACAAAGATGGACATTTTGACTTGCTTTATGGCTTTAATGAGTTGTTTTTCTGGTCTTAGCCCTGGAGAAGAATTTCATGTGGTTATTTACATTGGGATCCGATATATTAAAATGACATTTCTTCTGAGTGGTTTGGTTTTTAAATAGAATTCTTTGAAAAAAATAATTAATGAACTTTTTGAGTAATAGAGTTCTTTAAAGGCAGATAGTCTTGTTGCAATTATTTGATGAATGCTCATGTAGCCATCTTTGCAGCTTTTTCTAAGCGTTCCTTGCTCCTCTAGGATCTTAGCCTTGTCATTCTCTATCCCTTTTAATGATTAGGAGTCGCCTATTATCCTATGGAGTTATAGTCACAATGGATAGCTAGCCATTCATGTTATTTCTTATTTGAAACATTTGCTTATCTCCCCTTAGGAAAGAGAAGTTCTTAATTAAATTTTGAAAATAGCAACTAATAGATCGGTTTGCTATTTTTCCCTTTACCATTTTATTTTGTGCTGATTGTACTGTTCGATTTTGTTCGAGATCATATCAAAATCAGAACTTCCGGAGATGCTCAAATTCATTAGAGAATAAGTTCTTGGTCTTCTAGCTTACATTAAATAGTGATAATTGTGCTTACCGGTCAAAACTGCTGTTCCAAGAGCATGTAAATAGAAGTTTTATTTAGCTGAAGTGTCGTTTCTAAATTGAAAAGGAGGGAAAAAACAAAAATGCAAGGCATTGAAGAGTTTTAGGAAAATTTCTATTGCTAATGCAAGTTGTTATTTTTGAGGCCATAGAAGCTTGGCGCAAAAACGCTATAGAAGCTTCTCGCCAAAAACTCATGATGATGATGCTATAATGGTAACTTTTCGCATGAGTTATTCATTTAGCCATTTCCACCTAATCTTATGGATGGCCTCACATTGCATTCCCTTAAACCCGAACTAATGATGTTGTAGGGTGTGGTTAATTCCTATGCGAATACACCAACTGCCTTCCCATAATTCTTATCTACTGGAAATAAGAGAAAAATAGAAAATGAAGATAATCTTTAATCAAATTTCTTGACTCAACCTACATGAATTGCTACTTATTTATTAGAGAAAACAGAATCATATTGTAGTTATAGAATTAAGGAAATAATTAAAGTAGAGAAAATAAGAATAATCAGAGGACACGAATCATTCAGGTGGGCAATCATCCTACGGTTCAAATATTTGGAGCTCACATATTGCTTTATGAGAGACTAACGTTAGTCTCATTCATTACAAAATTTCTGTTGAATTGTGATTAATCAAGGGCTTTGATTAGGAAATATACTATTTGAAGTCTTATAGGAGTGACTAGTGTACTGTATTTGAATGACCCCCCTTTATTAATTTGTTTGTCAATCAATTTTCACATGCTTAGTTCTATCATAGTAGACTGAATCTTTTGTAATGCTCTTTGTAGCTTAGTTGTCACCTATCATCACCAGTGGTTATTTAACGTGATTGTTTAAGTCCTATAGTAACGTATTAAGTCACATTTCCTTACAAACCATGCTCTTGAATTTAGCTACAATGCTACTTCTAGCAACTGCTGCCAATTTTTTTACTTCTCCAGGTGACAAAGTTTCCCCGCACGAATGCATAATAATCAGAGGTAGATTTTTAATTAGTTACGACAAGCCTAATTATTGCCTGTAAATTTTTTACACTTCTATCATTTTTTTTTTTTGAAAATTGACTTTAATTATAACTCTTTTATAGATATATTAGTACCTTGTAAACTACATCAAAGTGTTCTTTGGCTGTAGTATTCATACATGAATTAATCATATTGAGCGAGTAACATATGTTAGAATGAGTATGGAAGAGATAAATAAGTTTTCCAAGTAGACACTATTATCTTTCCTTGTCACCTTAGAGAATGTCACTATTTGATCATATTCTATTGATAGGATCTAAATGAGTATTTGCAAGTTTCCATTCCATCATTCTTGTTTCTTTTAAAAGATCAAATGTATATTTTTGATGAGAGCGAGATATATCTTTGTTTGATTTGCGATTTTCATATGCATAAAATATTTTAGGGAATCTTTTTTAGTCTTTTGATTTTTTTCTCATCATTGCCAGCTATGATAGTATCATCCTTGTTGACAACAAGATAGTTATTTAACCATCAAGTGGTTTCTTTACAAATATGATATGATCAATCTACTTTTGAGAGTATTAATGTTTTTAAATTGTAGTAATAAATCTCTAGAATTAGGCTTTAGTAGATTTTCTTTAGATCATATTAGGATTTATCAAGTTTACATGCTTTATCTTTTTTTTTTTTATTGATCTCAAATCTAGGAGGAATAGTCACATACACCTCTTCTTGCATATCTTCATTTAGAAATGTGTTGGACCGATCCCTCTTGGACCGGCCAAGTGTTACGTGAGGCGGAACCCTGGGTTCCGCCCTGTTGAATCTCGTCCCTTTTGGGGTGGGCCCAAGGGAAATTTCAAAGGAAAAAAGGTGGGGGAAGGGGCTAGGAGGGAAAATTCAAATGGAGAGGGCTATTTTGGGATTTGCTATATTTTTGGCATGCTTTATGTCACGATCCAGCCCGGGGCTCGAATTAACGAGGCGGGAACAGACGGTCGGACGGTAAAATCATTTTCTAAATTTATTTTCAGTTCATTGAAAGAGCCACTAAACTTCAAATATATAAACAAAATATCATAAGTACCTTTCATTTGGAGCGCTTTGCCTTGATATACGTTTTCACATCTTCTATTCATTTTGATTATACTAAATTATACATGAAAAATAAATTTTAAGAGAAATAGTGAGTCAAAATAGAACTCAGTGAGTACATCATGCTTCTAAAATTACAGTAATCCAAGGCATTGGGAACAATATGCATAATCATTCTATAACATAAAATAAGTTTATTTAATCATTTTATCTCAAAACGTGCATACATCATATCTATCAAAAATATCGTATCCTTATCATTTTTTAATAATACAACCGTCACATGAGTCACTGTCTAATTTTAATACCAAAGAAGGTATTCATTTTTCTTTTTCTTTTTCATAACCTTTTCCATTAAAGTGCACGGGTACAATGTTCTCAGCTAGTACCATAGGGGGTGAGCTCCATCTTTCAACATGCACATACAATCATTCTATATATCAATAATATCATTCTTATATCATAATATCTTGCTTTATCTTATGCTTTATGCAATAATATATAGTAAATCACTTAATATGCGAGAGATGAATCATTGAATCATTTACAATGCAGTAAATAAATAACTTGCAATAACAATTAAATGAAAATTTGAAACAATATAATTACCGTAACAGAGAAACATGCTTACTCACCTGATGTAATGCTTCAAAAGTTCGTTCTAACTCTTTACTCTGATGATGATAGATTTAGTACCTAAAAGAAAGCTCTCGTCTTTAAGATTTAATTGATAAATTTCTCTAACTTGTTTAATTGTAATTAATTAGTGTGATTAACATCTCAAATATTAAAATTGTTCTCATTCTCTAGAACTAAATGTTGAATGCACAAAGATTGTCTTATCTCTCAATATATATACCAAAACTAAAAGTAATATTCCTAATCAAACCTTCTATTCTTTTACTTATCCTTCACCTACATTGTCGAAACAAAGTTCATGTCATTTGAATTCTTCCCATCATAATATTATTTTCTTTTAATTAGAAAAAGAAACTTATGTAAATTCTAATAAATTTTAAATTACTTCTTTTTCTGTTGTCAAAAGTAGAAGAAAATTTTCAATCTCATCCTTCCTTTTCCTCTTACAAACTTCTTCTTTTGCTATTGAATTTGATGTCAACCTTTACTTACAAGAAATTGCAAAGAAGATAAATAAAATATAAACTTTCTTTCTCCTTCCTCCTCTCTATACACTTCTTTGTCGTTGTTCATCTGTTTGCTTCAAAAGGAACGAAGGAAACAAGTATATAACTCAAGAGGAGTGGCTACTTTTCGTATTCGCACGCATATACTCGCTCGATTTCGCGATTCGACTTTCGCCCGATGCTTCCGCTCCCACGGTCGGCCCGCTCGCTGCCTGTTTCTCATGCTTCGTTCGATCGGTCCCCGCATGGTTTATTAACTGGCCTGTTCAAGTGAACCGGCCAGACCGGTTCTTACAATCTCCCCTTCTTACAAAAATTTTGTCCTCGAAATTTACATACAACTTTTAGTTATACAAACAACCAACATCTTCCATTTCATTTAAAATAAATTTCAATATTAGAACATAATAAATTAAACATCTGATATATCATAACAAAGTGATCTGATCAACCCAAAATATCTGACATAACAAAACAATATAACCTACTAAATAAAAAACATTAGATTTAACATAATAAGTCACTAAAAAAAAAAGACAATAAAGCCATCTCGATTATCCTTGTCAACATCTATTGATTTATTGGGCTCCTACTGAGTCAAAGTATAAACTCGCGGTCGGACATTCTACCAGGATTGATTTTGTACTGAACCTGCAACTGATGGTTATATTATCTTTTGTAAGAACCAACATTACTTTGAATATCCTCTTTAAAACTCTTCCTTTTATGTTGATCCATTCTCTTCTGAGTAGCTTGCAAATCTAACTCAATCCTTCGGACCCTCTCTACTAGAGTAGAATAATCCTCAATACCAAAAAGGAATAAAAGTTTGTCTGATGATATCCTTCAAGCCAGATAAGAAATGATGACACTTCTCTTCTGCATTGAGTATCAGATGTGAGGCATATCTGGAAAGTCTAGTGAACTCGGCCTCATACTAAGTTATAGTTCTATCACCTTGTACCAATCTGATGAATTTATCTTGCATATGTCTTCTAGCTGACATGGGTACATACCAATCTCGGAACACCTTTAAAAACTCTCTCCATGAGACTTAACTGCTGGATCGCCCTCCAAAAATCTTTGGTAGCTAGCTTCGCCACCACCTTTCTGCCTCATCATCAAAGGCAAAAGCAGCGAGAGTAACCCTTCTATCTTTAGGGCAGGACATACCCTCCAAAATCTTTTCTATCCTCATCCAATCTTCTGCCTCTATAGGTCCACCACTTGAAAATAACGGAGGCTTCATATCTTGGAACAACTTTAAATTTTTATCAATGGGAGTACTACTACCACTGGCCTTAGACTGAGTGTTCTTGATCATTTGGGTCATTGCAGCCATCATTTGCGTAAATTATTCCATAGTAGCATTGATGCTACTTGAAGGCTCTGTTACAACTGGCATCTCCCTCCTAATTTCTCCTGTATTGCCATCAGTGACATCATTTTCATGATCCATGGCTTTGAGATATAACGCGATGAAATAAAATTAGTAGTCTAAAACACATACCCTATACATTCTCTAACCTATATAATCATCCTATTGACTCTTTCATATTAATCAGTATGTTAAAATCTCTCTCTGATACCACTTTTGTCATGACCCGGCCCGGGAGCTCGAATTAACGAGGTAGGAACAAACGGTTAGACGATAAAATCATATTCTAAATCTATTTACAATTCATTGGAAGAGCCACTAAACTTCAAATATATAAACAAAATATCATAAGTACCTTTCATTTGGAGCATTTTGCCTACGATATACATTTTCACATCTTCTATTCATTTTGATTATACTAAATTATACCTGAAAAATAATTTTTAAGAGAAAGAGTGTGTCAAAATAAAACTCAGTGAGTAAATCATGTTTCTAAAATTATAGTAATCCAAGGCATTGGGAACAATATGCATATTCATTCTATAACATAAAATAAGTCTATTTAATCATTTTATATCAAAACGTGTATACATTATATTGTCAAAAATATCGTATTCTTATCCTTTTTTAATAATACAATCGTCACAGGAGCCACCGTTTAATTTTAGTACTAATGAAGGTACTCATTTTTCTTTTCCTTTTCCATAACCTTTTCCATTAACGTGCACGGGTACAACATCCCCAGCTAGTACCATAGGGGGTGAGCTACATCTTTCAACATGCACATACAATCATTCTATATATCAATCATATCATTCTTATATCATAATATTTTGCTTTATCTTATGCTTTATGCAGTAATATATAGTAAATCACTTAATGTGTGAGAGTTGAATCATTGAATCATTTACAATGCAGTAAAATAAATAACTTGCAATAACAATTAAGTGAAAAATTATAACAATATAATTATCGTAACATAGACGCATGCTTACTCACCTGATGGAATGCTTTAAAAGTTCATTCTTACTCCTTACTCTGATGATGATAGATTTAATACCTAAAAGAAAACTCTCGTCATTAAGATTTAATTGATAAATTTCTCTAACTTGTTTAATTGTAATTAATTAGTGCGATTAACATCTAAAATATTAAAATTGTTCTCATTCTCTAGAATTAACTTTTGAATGAACAAAGATCGTCTTATCTCTTAATATATATACCAAAACTAAAAGTAATATTCCTAATCTAACATTCTATTCTTTTACTTATCCTTTTACCTATATTGTCGAAACAAAGTTCATGTCATTTGAATTCTTCCTATCATAATATTATTTTCTTTCATTTAGAAAAAGAAACTTATGTAAATTCTAATAAATTTTAAATTACTTCTTTTTCTGTTTTCAAAAGTAGAAGAAAATTTTCAATCTCATCCTTCCTTTTTCTCTTACAACCTTCTTCTTTTACTATTGAATTTGATGTCAACCTTTACTTACTAGAAACTGCAAAGAAGAGAAATAAAATATAAACTTACTTTCTTTCTTCTCTTTCCTCCTCTCTGTCCACTTCTTTGTCGTTGTTCATCTGTTTGCTTCAAAAGGAACGAAGGAAACAAGTATATAACTCAAGAGGAGTCGTTACTTTTAGTATTCGCACGCATATCCTCGCTCGATTTTGTGATTCGACTTCCGCCCAATGCTTCCGCTCCCACGGTCGGCCCGCTCGCTGCCTATTTCGCGTGCTTCATTCGGTCGGTCCCCGCGTGGTTTATTAACTGGCTGGTTTAAGCGAACCGGCCAGACCGGTTCTTACACTTTAAGCAGATTGTTTAGCTAGGGTTCAATTTTTTTTTCTTTCGGTTTGTTGAAATTGAAGTTTGTAGCCGACGGCTATGTTGACCTCGATTTCATCAAACCCTTGGATCAAGGAGTTTGACTTGGTCAAATTGATCAAGCCGGACTTCAAGACAAAATAGATTCAATTATTAGTCTTAGAATTAAGGAAATAATTAAATCATACAAAATAATAATTATCAGAGCACACATGTTATTGAGGTGGACAATCGTCCTATTGTTTACATATTTGGAGCACAAAGATTGATTGATGAGAGATTGACGTGGGTCCCATTTATTATGGAATTTCTACATTATCTGATGTGATTGATCTGAACTATTGTTTCTTCATGTAGCATATTGGGCATGCTGATCGAATTATTCTGAGATGTTGATTGTCATTGATCATTTTCATGTTATATTTTATGTCTCTTGCTTGCCTTTTAGTCTTTCTTAAATCTTCTGAAATTCATCCTGTAGGTGCTGGACTGGATTCTTGGGAAGGGGCATTATGCACTCCTCCGAAGGGCAGAGTTAAAAACTTTGGTAGATATGCATGGAAATGAGGTTGGATTTGTGTTTCATTTTTATTACTAATGACGAATTTCTTAGAATGCTTTTAATCTTATTATTATCGTTAGAAAAGATCATTTACCTATTGATATCTAGTGTAAGCTAGTTTGATCTGATTAGTGAATGTATCCATTTGAAATTTCTTTCAGCTTTTTTCCCCCTAAAATCTTAATTAAGGTTTTGATTTGACATTAATAATTGGGAAATTCTCTGATACCACCAAAAATTAATTAAATTCCTCAATAATTGATGGTTAGTTGTTCATTAATTGAAAGTTTCAGATGGTTTATAGTTTTTAGGTTGTTACATGGGTTCTAACCTGTGAATTAGTCATCTGCTGAATTCACAATCATGTTACCCGAAATAGCTTTAGCATATTGTCACTAACATTATAATTAACATCAATCATCGGGTTTATTGATGTGATTAAGTTAGATACTTTTTGCCGCATGGGACTTGCCTTTAGTTTGCTTATGTTGATTGTTAGGTTCTTTCATGCCACATTGTTAGTCCTTTTATTCATAGTCTATTGCCCTTTTTCTTTAGGGTAATCATGAAAAAATATTCTTACCTTAAGAAAGGTGGTGGTAGTCTTAAAAAGACTTGGTTAGAAAATATTAGAAATGACATTTCTTTATTAGATTTAGATGAGAATTTGATTCTTAATAAGACATAATGGAGAAACATGATTCATGTAGCCGACTCCACAGTGGGATAAAGGCTTGTTGTATTATTTATTATTATTATTATTATTATTTATGATATTTTGTTTTTTTTTTAATAATTTGTTGACCTGCATGCTATATCCAAAGGAAACAAAAAAGGAAGATCAAAATCATACCTTGTCCGTCGGATCCACGGATCCACAAATCCTGCCGAAATCACGTCGATTCGGCGCAGTTTGCAATCAAATCCCGTAAATCCCGTGAACCTACCTCGATCGCACCTCCCTTAGAGTCGTTAAATACCAACTCAAATGAAGCATTTTGCTCTCTCACACGCGAAACTCTCGATCTTCCCTCTTCCTCCCGTGAGCCTCTCCCTCCAGTTCGCAGCCGTACCCAACCTCACGACCACACCTGACCTCCGATTTTCTCCCAGATCCCGCCGCCTCTCCTTCATGACTCTCCTAGCCCCGTTAAAGCCCTGGCCGTGCCGATCCAGAGAGAGAGAGAGAGAACCAACCTTGCCCTAGCTTCGACTCTGCCTCCCTCCGACATCATTCCTTCCTATTTGGATCGGAGGTTTTGTTATTTTGATCAGAAGGAGAGACGGGAGCTTGCATTGTAAAGGCAACTTTCCCCATTTCAAGCGCTTCTTCGGCTTGATCCTGTGAAACCAAAGAAAAAGGGGGGGATTTTATTTATCTATTTTATTATTATTATTATAATTAATTAATTGATAATAATAAATAGTTATATTTGCTTTTCTCTAGCGTGGTGAGAAGGGAACCCGGTGCGACACCTACGACGAGGTAGGTGAGCGACCCCTCAACTCAAAAATGCTGTTCTTAACTTTCGTGTCGAGCCGAAAAATCGCTCATACACGTTTTTTTCTAGCATGGTGGGATGGGAACCCGGTGCGGCGTCTACGACGAGACCGGGATATTCATAAGTACCCGCTCGTGGGGAAACAACTTCTTCTCTTTTGCAACAGGTACCGAAGACCCATACACGCCTTTTTATGGCATGGTGGGGTTCAAGATTTCATGGCCGCGGTGTCCTCGTACGAGGGCACCTACCGTACACGCTTTTCTCTAGCGTGGCAGGAGGACCAATTTTTCGTAGTTTTCCCCTAAACGGGGGAGATGTTGGGAGGCTGCTGAAATTTTGGGTAAATATACGACCGCACTCGAACCTGATTTGAACTCAAAAGAACAAGGATATGGATTCAAATAAGAATGAACTGTGGACTTGTATCTGATTAAAATCTAAATGATTAATCAAGACCTGAACCAAATGAAATAAGATCAATCTGGAACCAAATTTGAATCAATTTGAACATGTGTTTGAACTTGCAAAGACTTCAGAAGACTCTGAACTCGTACTTAAATTCAGACTATACGACATTGAGTGGGGACTCGTAAACTTGATGAATTCAAGTCTAAATGAAACTGAACTTGAACTCAAACATATACAAAGAACAAAGCTTGAATCACACACGAGGGAACTCAAACTATAAGAACATTTGTGCGGACAATAGTGACTCAATGTTAGATGAAATACATTGATCTTAGCACACAAATGTGACTAAGGCACACTACGAGACCAAAATGCATGCAAATAAAGAATGTAGTGGTCTCTTACAACAGTCTCTACGAGATCGGGTGCATCATACATGCAAGAATGAAATGCATGGGTGTCCCTCCTACATGCACTATTGGAATCTCCAACACAAGCAACAATGCCTGTAGATTGAGATGACAACACTGAGTGGAAGATCTGTCCTTGCAACAAGTACATTAATACCACCCGAGATTGGTGAAAGATGGATATGATGTAGAAACAATGGCTTTTCTACGAACACTTCCAGGAGGTTGTAGTGAATACAATGGGTCCACGTGAATACACACGAGTCGCTTGTGGATAACAATAGTAGATATATCGTAGGCACAACGAACCACTGTGGACACAAGTATAAATATCATCTACAACAATGGTGATTGAAATGCTGCAAACCTGTCAGGAAGAAAATAGTTCATACATTCACAAATATCAGAAATAACAAGTTTACTACGTTAAAGATCCTGAAAAGAGTCCCTTTCAAGGTAGTAACCTTGAATTTCAAGAAGAACCTTCCCCCGGTGAGTGAGAAAGGGAGAGTCAACATCAAGATGAGGAGATGCCTCATAACATCAAGACCATATCGCCATCGGATCTGCAATCTTAGTACAAACAGACAGAAGGCGTCTACAATCTATAACGACCGCCACCGGATCCCCAACACTCGTACTAGCGGACATAAAGCGTGTATAAATTCTCAAATGAAATATTGTGCATTCAAATTACAATTACTTGCACAACTGAAATATTTCAAAATACCCCTGCACGTGCACCATACTTGTATACACATAGGTACACAAATGGGTATGTCAAATCAGTGAAATTCAAAAACACCCGCATGGGCCCCGACGAGCGTGTTATTGGTATATACGTGACGTCTATGAATGCTGCGCAGGTTAATAAGTGAATTCAAGTTCGAACCCGTTCCTTCTATGCGGATGAATAGGATTAGACAAGATTCGAATCTTCAAACAAATACACAATTGTGATGACTGTTGTATTTGTTTTAATACATTCATATTAGACTTTCAGGGTCTATAATCAAGAGAATTCACTAATAAAGGCATAAAGCCTACGAAACCCGATCCTCCTAAGCAGGTAAATAGGAGTAGACAGGGTTTTAACCATCGGATAAATATGCGGTCATGAAGTTGATCGGAATATTTATTTTATACATTCATTTTAGGCTTTCAAGGCCTTTAACAAAGAAAATTCACAAACAAAGGCAAGAAGTCCAAGAAACCCGATCCTATGTTGACAGCTCAACAGAATTGATAAGGTTCATCAACAAAATGGAAATATTTTCAAGTGAAAATGACTCCAAAAACACCCCGATGATGGCCATGTTGAATGCAAATCTCAACCGGAGGGGTTCATTCCAAATATTTCAAATGTCCATTAAAATTCAAAACTCCATAAAGTCCAAAAAATCCAAAATCATTCCAAATTCCAAATATTTAAAATTGAAATAAATTCATCAAACCACTTAAAGCAAAAATCCATCCACCATTCGCAATAGTTTTTCGTGGTGGAGAAATTAAAATTTACTTCAGCTCACATAGAGCATTATCCTAGTCGAAAATATCATTAGGATTCATTCTCAAACAATCTTCTGCCAATAAGAATGTGGTACGTGTTTTCTAACCGGCGATTTTGCCTCCAAATGGCACCACAGGATAAATGGTTATGACCCAGGGCCCTCTGAATTGAGTGATTTTGTTGCCAAATGGCATCACTAAATACCAGTTATGGCTAGAGCTAATATGTTTCTTAGTGGTATCAACTCCTTGAGATATGAATCAATAGGATATGATCGATAGGGCACAAAGCTCTTTGTTAGCTAAGGTGGATTCAAATTTATCCCTTTAGGCAAATATCCATCCTAGGTTTACAAGGTCCCCTTGGACGAAACAACCCATGGCTGCCGACAATGATCCTTCTTAGGTTGGGTCGACTACATCCTCTGATTAAGTAGACTAGGGACTACGATGGCTCGGGACGATGGAACCATGGGATCTTGATCGGGTCTATCATCCATTCCCCCATCATCAGCTTTAAGTGCAAGATGTTGAAGTTTCCAATTTTAAATATCAAATCTCCAAATCTTCCAATCCTCCAAATTTTCAAATTCTCCAACTATATCCAAATCCCATTGCTGCTACTATATGCCAGATAACACGTATATTCTACGTATCTGATTGACGACTAGCCTTAATCGAAAGTTCTCTCTCGTTATCGGGAGGGGTAATTAACTATAGGGGCTTGCGCCTATAGGAAACCAGAACTCAGATCATAAAGTCCTCACAAAATGAGGGCTCTCTGGGTAGTGTCTTATCTACAAACCCATCTGCCTTCCCAAAATTCACCCCGGAATTTATTTCGTTAAAACTCCCTCCCCGAAGAAAAAACAATAAACGTTGGCGGACGCCGGGGTTGAATTTTCGGAGCCCACATAATTGTCGTCATCGGTCTCTAGCTTGGATGAAAAAGATTGAGCTTTCATGTTTGACTCATTGTCAGTCATAAAATTCATGCCATATCTAGTGAAATAAATTCAAATTTTAATTTTTCTTATGCTTGTGCATTCTCAGCAAATGTGTGCTACCATCTAACTCCATTGTGATGAGAAGTAGGTAAGGTGGGCTTAGGTGTCACCCTTATGTGATATACCATAACTTAACTTGAGATTATAGTGATAACAAAGCACGAGTG